TTAAAAAATTTTAGCCATTAGTAATCACATAATGTTAATTACACGTACTGTTGGTATCTTCATTAGGACTAAACCAGCCATAATCTCCATCATGGCGATTTCTAGGGAGACTCGATGTCCTTTGTTGCCTCTTTCTCCATTCTTTGATACTTGGTCGAGGGTCCCAGGGAGGTTGGTGCTAAACAAGGATCTTTATTAAACCAGGCCCCTGACCCGTAAGAAAGACCAGAAAGCAGGCTGGGCAGCATGGGGCTTGCTCCCTCCTGCAGAAGTCCCTTGGGAAGCACAGGAAAGGTCAGCAGGCAGGACCCAACTGAACCAAGGGTTCTGTGCCCAGGTCTGGACCCTCATCTCAGCTCAGGGGACACGGTGCTGGGATCTGGGGGTGCAGACCAATGGCTCTGCCTGCCCTGGCTCCCTCAGAGAAGACCAGCGGCTCCTCCTGTGTGATGAGCACACCTCATGCACCCTGGCTGTTCCACCTTCCACAGAGATGCCGGCTCCAGCCAGGACGAAGGAGGGCCTGCTCCACTTCAGGGCTTTGGAGTCAAAGGCACCTGGTTCAGGTCCCACCTCAGCCACCGTCCCTACTTCAGTCAAGAACTATTTCCTAGGCCGGGAGCGGTGGTGCACACCTGTGATCCCAGTGGCTTGGGAGGCTGAGGAAGGAGGATCATGAGTTCAAAGCCAGCCTCAGCAACTTGGTGAGGCCCCAAGCAACTCAGTGAGACCCTGTCTCTAAATAAAACATACAAAGGGCTGGGGATGGGGCTCAGTGGTTAAGTCCCCCTGGGTTCAATCCCTGGTACCAGCAAAGAAAGAAAAGAATATTTCCCGAACATTAGCTATGTGCAGACGCTGTCTTGGGCCAGGGGACACGGGGTGTAAGGGCACCCATCCCTCCACACAGCCGTGGGCTGGGACACTGTCTTTACGTGAACACTGGGTTCAGAGTGACCTCCTCCTGAGCTGTGTGGAGGGTGTTCTGGGAGATGACACAGTCCTCCACTGGCTCCTGACTGGGTGCTCAGCACCGGGTGCATCAGAGGCTCAGGCCTGACAGGCCGCGTGGGCAGAGGACCATGGCAAGACCCCATCTGCAGAGGTTCACACCCAGCGCAAGTGGCTCCACCCATCAAGGTGACATAGGTGGTCCCCTGGTGCAGCCAGCACCCATGACAGAGGCGTGGAGCTGCAGTCCCCAGAGCCACTGAGGCATTGTTGTTGCACCAGACACTCCTGGGAGCCCTGGTCCTGCTCCAGGGACCCTCAGCCAGGATGCCACCTGGCTCTCACGTCCATCCCTGGACAACCTTGGGAATGGAGCGTAAGGCTGGGCAGGCACCAGGACAGCCTCTCCAAGCTCTGGGAGCTTCGTGATGTCTAAGGAGACTCAATGATGGCTTTCCTGATGTTTTAAAACCACTTGGTCAAGTCAGGGTCCTAGAGAGCTGCCACACAGAGCACATGACCTTCAAAGGGCCGGAGGGGCGAGGCCCGGATCCCTGTGTGACCCTGGGCAGGCTGTGTACCTCTCTGAGCCTCTGCTGCTCATCTGTTAAATCCTGTTACTAATGCCCTCCACAGGGCTATGGAGAGGATTAAATAAAAGCCTATCTAAAGTTCCCAGCACAGAGTCTGACTCATAATAACTGGTTAAGAAATGGCAACGGCTATCACGGTGATTATTTTTAAATGCCACTCCATCTCTGCTGTCCTTAAAGGAACAAAAGAGGTTTAATGGCTCGTCCTTTGGTGGGATTTTCTAGGAGGGAGTGGGCACCAAGGAATAAGAGAATCCAAAGACAAATTCTGGAGGGACGTCAGCCCTCCCGGGAGGGTGGGAGACTCCCAGCTCCAGCCGCCCCCCCCCCATCCCCCGCTCCGGGGTAAGTGCTGGGAGCCCGGCTGACCCCCTCAGTGCTCTTCCACTTAGGCCAGTGTCGGCCTGCCTGCTCCCTGGACTCAAACTGGGCCTGCGGGAGCTAAGTGGGCTGCGCGGCTGGGAGCCAGGGGGAGGCAGCGTTTCCACCCAGGAGAGCCCCGCACAGCGGCAAGAAGCCCTATTTACAAATAAAGCCTGTTCTTGGCTCTGCCACCCACACAGCCAGCCCTTTATTCCACTTCAATATGCCTAATTCCACTGAAAGTGCGCGGCGATCCACAGGACCATCAGCCGATGCCGAGCGAGTGTGGGCAGCTGTTGGCATAGCTGCACGCCCTGGGAGGGGACAGGAAAACAGGGGACGAAGGGGCTGGGAAATGCTTTACTGAGGAGGGGACTGGAGATGCAGGGGCTTCTGCCGAAGGTGGGCATTTCATGAGCAAATAAAGTCTGGGCACAACCAACACGCCCGAGAGACTTCCAGGGAGCGCTTCTCCTGCCTAGTGTCAAATGCAAATGGCTTTACTGTGGCTGCTTCCACCATCATGAGAGTCATGAGAGAGTCCTGCTTGCTCCCCGCAGACACTGCCCGAGGACACAGAGCCAAGGGAAACTGTCCCTGCTCTAACTCTTGGCATTTTGGAGTGCTGCCTTGGAGGTGTTTCTCTGTGTGTGTGTTTGCAGCACAATCAACACAAATGACAGCCACCTGGTATGTGGCTTTGTGCTGTGCACATCCTTCCAGGTGAGCCACCGCGGTCCTCTGGCTTTTCACGGCTGCAGGGTTGGAAGAGGCACGTGCCCTGTGCCATCCATCCTGTTGGTCGCTGGCACCCTCTGCTCCCTGCTCTGTGCAGTCAGCCACAGTGGCCCTCCCTTGCACCCTCAGTGGCCTCCTTTGCACCCACAGTGGCCTCCTCTGCACCCACAGTGGCCTCCCTTGCCCTCCCTTCTCTCCCCGGAGGGGACTCAGCTTCTGCTGACCTTTCTGCCTGGGATTCTTTTTCCTTTTTCACATAATTAGATTTGTTCTCTTTGAAATTGTGACCAAAATACCTCCTCCAAGGAGCCCTCCCAGATAGGACCCAGCCTGGCCTCCCGTGTCACACGTGCTGCCGCGTGATCTGCACCTGGTCATTCATCACAGTTGCAATGAAATAGTTGAGTAACTTCTCTGACCCCTCGACTTCCCACCAGGACGTGAACTCAGGAGGTCACTGTGCCCATCTTGCTCAGCTCGGAAGCTGGGGGACAACGTGTGGCAGAGGAGTCATCAGCATTCATTCACTGACACAAGGAGAGAAGGAAGGAGGCGGCCACGGACCCTGCCAGCACGGGACGTCCACTTCCTGCTTCCACACAAAGGGGGGATCTGCCCCCTGCTTACCACCTCTCCGTGCCTCGGGAGCCTACAGGTGAAGAAGGTGGAGCACGTGGCTGGCCTCTGGCCCCCTCTCAGGCCAGGAGAATGAGCAGAGGCAGAGGAAACCCTGGAGGTCACCCAGCCCACGGCTCCACTGCTCGAGGTTCCAGCAGAGAGACGCCAGCCCAGAGAGGGAGAGGCTGCCCCCACCCACACACAGGACTCAGCAGCAGGTCCCAAAGCACCTGTCCTCCCCGGCACAAGGCAACCCCCTGGCTCTGCCAGGCCTGGCCTCAAATCCTAGCTCTGCCATGAGAAAGAATTTGACCTGGGGCTAGTTGGCTCAATTCTCTGACCCTGGTCTCTTTGGCTGTACACGGGGGACAGTAACCCCTGCGTTCTTGCTAGGAGGGGGTGTGACTTGGTTGCTAAGAACATGGACTTAGAGTGTGCTGGTGTGTGTTTGAATCCTGGGTCCAGCACTTCCTAGCTGGGTGACCTTGGGCAACTTGCTTCACATTGTTTCTACATCTGTCGCCTGGGAAATGGGGAAAGAACATTCCTTCTGCATACATTGTTGCACACATGAGGTCAGAGATCACATCGGGTATGAAGCAGCCGGCACTGTACCTGATACAGTCTCCACTAAGCAAATAAAAGATACTGCCCACCAGGACCCACAGGGAGAGGAGGCGCTCAGTGCCCTCAGGCCCTGATTGACACACGGCCTCTTTTCATGAACATGGGTCCATCGGAACTCACTCACCCCAACCAGCACAGGACCTGTCTGTGCACTTACTGTCACGAGGGCCCTACGACGCACCCCACAATACCCTCTAGAAGAGGGACGGGGAATTGCTCTGAGGCCCCAGGTTCCTTTCTCCCCGGGCCCCTTTCCCATCTACCTCTCCTCCTCTGCAAGGCCTGGCTCAAATGCCACCTGTGCCCACGGCTGCCACTTGGATCACTATGGCTGTGGCGTCCCTGGCATCGGGATGGAGCCCAACACTGGCTGCCACCTATTTCAGTGATCCGTGTCCTGGGCCCAGTGTCCTCATGAGCACAGTCTCCGCCTGTCTCTCAAGTCGCCTGCCACCCCCACCCCCATGCAGGGTGCTGAGGGTACAGGTGAGATGGCGGGATCCAGGCTCCGTGGGCTCAAATCCTGCCCTCGACCCCCAGCTGTGTGACCTCAGACAAGTCCTCACTTGGCTCCATGCCTCAGTCCCCCCACCCCACACCCCCAGAAAAAATGGGAAATACCCACCAACGGCGCGGGGTACCTGAGGGTTGGTGAGAGGGCACATGTGAAGCGGATCACATACTGGGCACACAGCTGGCCCTCTTTAAAAGGTGAGCCAACCATGTCACGTGAATAACTGTCATTTTAATAACTCACTCTGGGTCGAATGCCAGCCCTGAACCAGCCCAGGATGGCCTTGACCCAGCTCATGGCTTCTTGATCCTCCCCAAGCACCATGACAAGCTCTGACGTCAGGGCCACCACAGGCCATCAGCAGTGTTTGGAAACAGCAGCCACCGAGGGCGAGGCTGGCCCAGGGCCCAGCCCCATGTGGGAGGCTGCCCTGCGGCTGCCCAGGCTGTGGAACAGGGGCACAGCGGCCAGGAGGGCTCCCCAGCGGGGGCCTGCCCTCAATGGGTGCCGACTGCTGGCCGAAGTCTAGGGAAAATCAGCTGCAGCAGCCCCCTGCACCGGCCCACCCAGGGCTGCGCAGGCACCGGCCCCCTCACCTTGAGCCCGCTGCTTTCCGCTTCCGAGCCGGGGTCCACACCCGTGATGTAAATGCCCAGGCCGTACTCGGCGCCCCCGCGGATGGTGAGGCCCAGGGAGCGGCCATCCCCCAGCACCAGGTTCACCTGCAGGAGGGAGAGCGGGGGACGTTAGCCAGGAAGCCACACCTGGGGAGGTGGCAGCCACAGAGCCCTGCCCGGCCCTGGAGAGCACCATGGGCTTGTCAGGAGCCCCGACACCATCCTGCTCACGGTCCCAGGGGGCAGAGGGGTGGTCAGAGCGCAGTGGGCAGCGCAGGGCCCTGGTCCTGCCTGGGGGAGGCAGCGGGGGAAGGGGCCTCCTGGTGTCTCAGATGAGCTCAGAGTCAGGGGCTCACAGGAGGTAGGTGGCGGTGCATCCCAGGGACATGGGACATGGGACAGTATGTGTCACATGCAGGAAAGCAAGCCTGGCTCAGGACCTTGGAGGTGGGTCACAGAGGATGGCCGGGGTGGGGGAGAGTCGCACATGAGGACAGGCAGGAGTCTAGAGGTTCTGGAAGGTTCCATAACCTCTGAGGAGGCTGCAGGAATGCAGCGATGAGGTGGCCAGGGTTTAAGGCCCTCCCTGGTCCCTCATCGCATGCACGTAGGTCTGTGTATTCGGGAGGTGACAGTGTGGGGGTCACTTGTGTCAGGGCCAGGGCCAGGATACTGAAGCTCAATCCTAATGACACTTGCTATGTACGTGGCCCCGGGCAAGTTGCCTCACCTCTATGTCTCAGCTTCCTCATCTGGAAAATGGGCTGATCACCAGCCACAGCGGGGCTGCCCTGAGGGCCGAGAGGGTCCAGGTACCTGGAGAGCTCAGCGTCCCGCCGGGCCCCGGAAGCCTGGCTCTCTGCAGAAGGGCCTCTCAGGAAGCCCTCCCGGAGCTTCCCCAGGGCCACCTGGTCAGGTGGGGGGAGCCAGGGCCCATACTCCAGCCAGAGCACCTCAGGTGAGCCAGGGCAGTGTGCAGCCAGCAAAGAATCCCAGGGTCCCTCCAGATGCTCCCGACCTCGCAGGTGACAAGACGGTGCACAGGAAGCACAGGGCTGCGTGTGCCTCCTGGGAAGGTGCAGAGGGACCCCTGAAGCCGGGGCTGGGGGTGCAGCCTGCCGATGGCTCACAGAGCCACAGATGGGCCTCCTGGGAACCGCCCTCACCCAGCTCCTGACCCCGCCTAGGTCAGGACACTTCTGCGGGACTGTCCCAGCTCCGGGGCTCCCCGTGGGACCGGCGGACCTCTGCTGTGACAGCCACACAGCCCACTCCTCCCTCGCCCAGGATTGTGACCCCTGCTCCATCACGGCCTTGGCCCAGGCCACTGCACCTCCATGAACAGACAGTTGAAGCCTTGAGAGAGCCTCGCCTGGACTCCTGGGCTGGAAACCGCGGGAGTCGGGGCGGGGGAGGGGTGTTCAGGGCCACCCCGCTGTGGCAGGGAGGACGGGCTGTTTCCTGAGGTGCCCGAGCTCCCTGCGGTGCTTCCTTCCATCTCTCTCTGCCCACCGTCCGCCTCCTCTGCTCTGTCCTCCAGCCTCCTGCCTCTCCCTCTTCCAAGGACACTCAGTGACAGGGGCCACCGATAATCCAGGATCATCTCCCATCTCGAAAGCCTTCCCTCAGTCACTTGTGCAAAGTGCCTCTGGTCTGGAAGGCAGGACTCACAGGTCCTGAGGAGGAGTGGCCTCCCATAGACTAACTCTTCCCAAGTCCACTCCAGGGCGCCGGGCTGGGGCAGAGCTCCCAGAGACAGAGCTCCCAGAGACAGAGCTCCCAGAGACAGAGCTCCCAGAGACAGAGCTCCCAGAGACAGACCACCCAGAGACAGCCACGGGGAGGGGAAGAGGGAGATGGCATCCTGGGGCACCCTGGGACCTCGCCCTGCCATGACTCTGCCAAGGTGTCACACGCAATCCCAACGTCAGGACTGAGGGGAGTCGCTTCCGACTGCTTTAGCACACGGGGAGCTGGGGGCCCACGGGCCAGGATGGGACCCGAAGCCTCGTCGCGGCTGGTGGGGTTGGAAACCGGTTCCACCGCGGGAAGAGCACGGCAACGCTCAAAAGGTTAAAAATGACATCTCCAGGGGACACAGCAACTGGCTCCGGGGTTCAGACCCAGGGAATGAAAGCAGGGCTCTCATCTGCAGGCCCGTGACCCTGTGACCCCATGACCCCGTGATGGCAGCAGCAGCCCCACGGCAGGCGGACGGTGTCAGTGACCCGGCGCCGGCCAACAGGTGAGGGATGGACAGACGCGGCCCCGGCCTCACCACAGATGAGGGCCCGTGTCCCCAGGGTCACACGATGAGACCTACCCCCAACATGAAGGTGACCTGGGGTGCTCAGGCCACGCAGGCAGAGCCCCAGCGAATGCAATGAGCCTCCCACAGCAGGGGCCTCCAGAGCTCGCTGGCCTTTCTGACCTGGGAGGACACACACAGAGGCGGCCGTCTGCAGAGCAGGACACACACTCCCACGCTCCAGACACGGCGTCCTCCCCCAGCCTGGAGTCAGTCTCCCAGGAGCTCTGGCTGCAACCGGGCAGCGTTCAGCCTGAAGGACAGGAAGCTCTGGCACACGCACAGGGGACACTGTGCTAAGTGACAAGAGCCAATCACAGAGGGACGGACACCTTGCCCTCATCTGAGACACCGAGAGGGGCCAAAGTCACAGAGACAGAGAGCAGAGTGGTGGTTCCCATGTGGTTCCATTTGGACCTTAATGTCCCCCAAAGCTTGGTCTCCTGTTGGTGGTGCTAGTGGGGGGGGGAGACTTCAGGAGGTGGTAAGAGGGTCTAGTAGAAGAAACAAGGTCTGGGGGGGTGTCCTTGAAGGGGATATGGGATTTTCTCTCTGCTTCCCAGCCTACATCACACACTCCGCACCAGGCCGTTCTGCTCACCACTAGCCCAGGCGACCTCAGACTGAAACCGTCAGCCAATATAAACCTTTCTTCCTTTTAAGTTCACTTTTCTCTGGTGTTTCCTCACAGCTATGTAAAGCTGACTAAGGCACCAGGGCGGATAGAGGGGGGAGCAGGGTGTTGTTATTTAAAGGGTTTTGGTTTTGCAAGAAGAGGAGTTCCGGAAGATGGGGTCCAGCAGTGTGAGTGCATTACCAACACAGAACTGCACGCCTGAAGCACAGGCAAGGGAGACCCAGAAAGCTAAATCCACCACCATGTGACCTCTCTCACTTTTGAGGACAGGAGGGCCATGGGGGCCCCAGAGCCACACAGGAGTCCTCTCCCACCTGTGGAATCTATTAACCAAGAAAAATCCTCAAGGTCAGAGGCCTGGGAACCTGCTGCCCGTGAGCATCACCTCGCTCGCTGGCCAGGGACACACAGGTGACGGAGGTGAGGAAGTGCTTCTCCCTCCCTGGTGAGTTGGGGGGACACCAACGCCAAAGGCATGACGAGGACAGCTGCTCAGAGGCCACAACCAAAAATGCCAACTCGGGAAGCCATGGCCACACTCTTCTCTGCACTTCTGCAAAGAGCAGCGAGCACCCGGGTCCCCACAGGGTGCAGGGTCCTGTGCTGCCAGTGTCTCGGGCCTCCGCTGTGTTCGGAGCCCCGGCAGATTCCACTTTAATTTAGTCATTTGTGTCATACACACTTACTGAGCATCCACACTGTCCCAGGCACGAAGAAGCCACCCAGACTCAAGACCGAGGTCCTCACTCCACCAGTTTACCTAGGTGGGGGGCAGGGGTAGTCTACTGCTGTGTTCATTCCACAGAGGAGGAAATGGTTAATGGAGGCTCAGAGAGGTTATGCAATTTGTCCAAGGTCACACCGCTGCCAAGATTTGAACCACTCCTGCCATACTGACACGATCCCATTTAATCCCCATAATAAATCCAGCAGTGAAATGGGTGAAGACCCCTCTCTGGTGTTGTCTGGGGTACTTCCATGGGTCCTCCCAGGTACCAGATTCTCTCAACCTTGGCCTTAGGCATTCTTATAGAAGTTACTCCAAGATGCCCCGAGGGGAACTTATCTACCCTCATCCTCCCACCCACAGAATTCCAACAATGATGTCAATGAAGACACTGGGCTCAGTTCTACTTCAGGGCCTTTGCACATGCTGCCCTTGCTGCCTGGGCTTTTCACCTCTCAAAATGGGATGGGAAGCCTCCTTCTCCTTCTGGGGGTCTCAGCTCAGAAGTCATCTACTCAGAGAGAATCTCCCTGAACACCTTCAGGCACCTCCCAGAGCACCTCCCTCTCCACTACTTCCCACAGTTACTGTGGTTTGAATGCATCCTTCCAATTGCACATAAGGGAAACTTAATCTGCAAATTCATATGCTAATGGTATTTGCAGGGGGAGCTTTGGAGAAAATAGGATTAGAGGAGGTCAGTGCAGCTGGTGTGCGGGTGGGTGGGGGCTCCCCTGGTGGCACTGGTGACTTTAAAGAAGAAGCAGAGCCATCTGAGCTGGCAGACTCGCTCTGTCTTGCTATGTGATGTCCCCTGCATGTCCTGGGGCAGCACGAGGGCCTCACCAAGGCCTTTGGGCTTCCCAGCCTCCAGAACAGAGCCCAGTGAACCTCTGTTCTTTATAACTCACCCAGTCCGTGGTATTTGTTGCAGCAACAGAAAACAGACACCCGTGTCCCTCATTCTGCTCCTCTGGGCTCCTTTCTGGATCTTCACCTCCCTCCCCACCTCCGCTGCACCCTCAGAGCAGGGCCTCAGCTTTATCCCCAGCTCCCAGGACATGCCAGGCACACCGCAGGTGCTCCACAAGGACTGGGGGGCTTATGGAGCACCTCCCGGCTGCCACCTGCTGAGTCTCTATAAGATGCAGGAGGTGGCTTGGAGGACTCAGGGAAGGTGCCTGGGTACAGAGCCCCACCTAGGGAGGAGAGGGCTTGCCAGAAAGACAGGGAGTTTGCTGCCCAGCATGGCAAGGCTGGCCCAGCCACAGGCAGCCCTCGGAGACGGCCGGAGAGCATGCTTCCCTGGTGGGGAGGGCCCGGAGCTGCCAGGAGGCCCAGGTGCCCGCAGACCTCCCAACATCTTGACGTTGAGCAAAGAACACCCACACATTAAATAAATGTTATGGTCTCATCCACAGGAAAGGGAGAGTGGAGAGAGTCTCCAGGGGAGGTGCCTGGCCTGGAGCCCCAAGCCGGGCAGCTTCCTGGCTGTCAGGATCCAGGTCCTAAAACAGCTGGGAGCTGGGCAGGGGTTACCTTCCTGGTCTGGGAGCAAGGCGCACAGGCAGAGAGATGGCTAAGATGTCAGGGACCCAAACCTCTTTTTCCTTTATTTAACAAATAGACCACTTGGAGGGAGAGGAGGGCTCTGTAGGGGGCACTTTTTGATGCCTCTGCCTCCTCCTTCAGGTGACAACACTCCACGATGCGCTGGACAAGCACCCCTCCCCCAGCTGGTCCTGCCAATCAAAACGCCTGGCATCCCGCCAGCCAGTCGGGTGTCCCACCCTGGACTAGGCCTCTTAGCGGGAGGACACAGAGAAGTCCTGGCGGAGATGCAGGTGCCGCTCCCACAGGCGGTGCCCTGAGTGCCCCAGCCTCACCTCCGGGCCTGCCCACAGCCTTCTAGTACATTCCTCCTTGGCAGGAGTTGGCTCAAGCCCCGCTGCCAAAGCTTCCCTGAGAGCGCGGTCAGGGCAGCGGCTGGAGGCCGGGTGCGCGCTCGGGGCCCTCCCCACCAGGGAAGCATGCTCTCTGGCCATCTCCGGAGGGCTGCCTGGGGCCTGGGTCAGGTTCACCGCCCGCCTTGCCATGCCGGGCAGCCATCGCTGGTGGAAGGACACTGTCACCAGCTCTCTCTCCTCTCCTTTCCCAGGAGCTGATCTGGGACCTGGTGCACCAGCCCCCCAGACACCCCTCGCAGGGGGTCCATGCCCTAGTGCCTAGTGGATGGCAGGAATCCCAGGGCCCGTCCTGGGCCCGAGCTGCCCACCAGACTGACTGTCCATCCATTTGGCTACAGCAGGGAGAGAGACCCTCACGACATCCCAGGATTGGGGGCAGCTCAACCTCTGCTGTGATAAACGCTGCACTCGAAACAGAGGAGGAAAAAGGGCCTTCAAGAGGGACTCAGGGTAAGGACAAAGCCCCGGCCCAGCCCCTGCGGGTCACCGCTCTGGGTCTGGGAGGCGCCTGTCCTGCTGGGCATGCCCACCACCCAGCTGGGTGCAGCTCACCTTTTTCTCATCCCCGCCTTGCAGGAGGCAGAAGCCGCTCCTCCGGTCACCCTCGGGCTGTCTCAGAGCGCTGCTGCCCTGGGGGTTGGGCAGGCCTGAGGGCGGGGAGGTGCTGCGGCCCTGTGGGTCCACCCAGGTGTAGATGTGGTTGGTGACATAGCCTCCAGGGATGCGCCCCGCAGAGTACACAGACAGTACCAGCTTCTTGGAGCCCTTCAGAGCCTAGAGAGAGAGGGGGACACACAGTTAGAGGGAAGGGAGCACTCCCCGCTTGCCATCAGGGAGACCTTGCTTCCTCTCAGGACCCCCATGGAGGAGCCATCCAGCCCCCAAGTCGGCCTCCCCGCCCCAGCCCTTACTTTTGCCCTCTAGAAATGGGGACACCCGCCTCTCCCCTATCTTCAAGCCGACCCAATACAAGAAATCTGATCTCCTGGGATACCTGCAGGCAGAAGCTGCCCAGCAGGCCCAGGCTGCTGTCCCCAGCAGGACCTGCTCACAAGGCCGGCCTCTGTGCACGTGGACCCTGTCTGATACGTGGGGCCTGCTGCGCATGGACCTGCAAACTGGGGTTTGTGCTGAACACTTGCCTTCCCTCTGGGCATCTGGAATGTGGGTGCCAGCAGAGAGCCACCCATAAAACCTTTCTAGGGCTCTCTAACCAGTTTCCTGCGCAGACAGCACCGCGCTCCTGTGGGCACAGTCTGGTGCTGGAGGAATTAAGCCTCGTGACTCACCGAGGGAGGACCCTTGGGAGCCTGGACTTCTTCTGGACTTTGCCAATGTGTCTCTTCCTTATGCTCATTTTGGTTTGTTTCCTTTTGATGTAATAAATATTAGCCAGGAGGACGCAGCAGCTGCCAGCCGCCCGTGCCCGCGGGTTCTGCATCCACAGATTCAACCAACTACGGGCCAGACATATATATTTTTTTTAAATGGCATCTGTACTGAACCCGTACAGACGCTTTCCTTGTCATCATTCTCCAGACAATACAGAGTAACAGCTACTCACACAGCGTTTGCGCTGTATTGGGTATTATAAATAATCTGGAGATCACAAAGCATGTGCAGGACGTGTGCAACTTGTGCAAAACAGAGGTAAGCATCGGCGGATTTTCCTTTCCAGACGGGGTCCTGGAACCCATCACCCAGAGATCCAGGGACAACTGTGTATTCTGAACCCACTGAGCCTTTCTGGTTGATCACTGGGTCTTGGGGACACCAGTAAAATTCTAGGCGAGAGGCAAATGGAAAAAACATTGATCATAACAATAGCTTAACATTGTTGAAGGGCCTGTGGGTGTCGGGTGCTCCACCCTGCATCCGACATGTCCTGTCTCATGAAATTCTCAAGGGATCCAATCTTGGGAGTGGGGAGTGGTCCACTCCTTGGATAGATATGGAGGGAAATCACCTGCCCACACGGCTAACAGGGGCTTCCTTTCCTACAGCTACTCATTTTGAGTGCAGACACCATCTTTGTTTTTTAAAGGCTGGGTTGGAACGACCACACTGAACTCTAGGCCCTGGGTAGAAGCTGAGGTCGCCATATTGCTTTCCCACAATGCACCTGGAGCAGCGGTGACGATGCTGACTCCGAGGAAGTCACTAGGTGCTAGATCAACTGCAAGCGCACCCCACGTTGGGGACTGAATGTGTGTCTCCCCCCAGATTCCAATGTGGAAGCCCGACCCCTGAATGATGGTCATTTAGAGATGGGGCCTGCGGGAGGCAGCTGGAGTTAGCTGGGGTCGGGAGGGTGAGGCCATCGTCATGGAAGAGAGGGACCAGAGTTTGTTCCTCTCCTCCGAGGACCCAGGCATGTGGCCGTTTGGAAGCCGGGAAGTGGAGCCAACCACACTGGCACCCCGCGCTCGGACTCCCCATCTCCAGAAAGGGTGGCAAATGAATTCCTGCAGTGGAAGCCGCCCCCACCTCTGGCACTTTGTCCTGGTGGCCCTGGCTCCCTGGTGGCCCTGGCTCCCTGGTGACCTGCAGCTGGAGTCTCTTTGAGTTGCTGAGGACATAGACACATACTGAGATTTTTATGCTGCCATAAAAATCATGTCGACAAAGAGTTTGTAAAGCCGTGGACGTGTGATGTATTTTAATGTTAAGTGGGGCCAACCGCCTACAAATCATGTCCTCATGGTATGGTCTCAGTTATTAAGAGAACGAAAAACCATACAGGAAAAAACCAGGGAAGTCCCGTGCCCACGTTCAGTGTTTCTCTGTGGAGTGGGGCTGCGGGGGATGGTGTCTTGCTTTTCCTGCTTCTCCATAGTTCCCACATGACCCCCAGCGAGGGCACACTGCTTTCAATACCCCACACACAAATAATAATGTGCCTCAAAAGGAGGGCTGCCCGGGGCTCTCCAACTCCCAGGACCTGGAGGACAAGGGGACCAAGGGTTGAGCTTGCAGAGTCAGCGGGGGGCCCTGGCTGTGGGGGCTCTGACGGGCAGGCCCCTCCCAGAGGAGGAAAGGCAGGCCCCAAGGCGCTGGGCCTCCACTCGCAGCTCAGTGCCAGCCCTGGCCTGAGGGGTAGCTCGCCAAAACTCTGCTTTAAAAAAAAAAAATTATTTCCCTGGTGGAACAGTCAGGAAAATCAGATCTCTGTTAAGTTGGAGATGCAGGACGGAGGAGCCTGAGACCAGGTGTGCTTGTTCCCCAGGTGTGCTTGTGCCGCAGTAAGGTGGGTACCAGGGTGTGGCATCCTGGGCGCCCCACACATCTTCCTGACCCCCCTCCCTGCCCACCACTCCCTCCTCAACAAGGTTTTGACTCGATGCTCTGCTGCTGCTCAAATGGCCTGGCTCCTCCTCTCCCTCTGAGGGACACTAAGAATAAGCCCCAGGGCTGGCGGAGGGCCTACTGTGTGTCAGGCCCACAGGGAACAAAGCAAGCAGCCTGGTGAGGGATAAATACCACCGGGTACACAGTAGGTCCTGATGATGCTTGCAGTCCCTGAGAGACCAGCTTTGCCCAGCACACAGTGGGTCCTCATGACACTTGCAGCCTGGTGAGAGACGAAGCTTTACCTGTCACATAGTAGGGCCTAAGAAGAGGCTGGTCTGATTAGGTAAGAAAGTAAAGAGTTCTCCTCATAGAAATGGGAACCCCTAGGGACATGTGGTGCAGCCACAGTGAGTCTGGACGGCTGTGTTGGAGTGAGAGCCGAGGAGCGTGGAGGGAAGAAGAGACCGAGGGCCATGGAGTCGGGCACTTCCATCACGAGTGGGCTGCGTGCCCCACAGGCAGCACCGTGAGGTGGGGACGGACAATACCCATCTGTCAAGGGTGAGGGTGAAAGGAGGTGACAGGCGGGAAGTCCAGAGCCGTGCGCACAGTAGGTGCTCAGCGGACGGCAGAGCCCACTCGCCTGTCTCCCGGGGAATGTCTGCATGGAGGAGGGGAGCTCAGATGCCACCGGGGAGCACTGTCCCAGGAGTTGAAAGGGAAAGTGGGGGAGAGGATGCAGCCACACGCAGCGTCATTTGTATTCCTTCTCGTGGCCACGGCGGAACCCTCTTGGTCAGTGCTATAAATAGGCCGGCACAACCTTGAGAGGCAGAGGAGGTCAACGCCTTTGATGAGAACACCGTGGAGAGCGGCTCTGCAGAGGGCCCACATGCTGCCTGCCCACGCCCGGGATTTTACAAAAGAGGACTCTGAAGTCCCCAGAGGGGAAGGGACAGAGGGGCACAGCCCAGGATACAGGAGGCCAGCCCAGGGCCAGCCCCTTCCCCTCTGCACCTTGGATTCCCCATCACAAGACTTCAGGGCTGGTAAACCTGCACTCACTCAGCTTAGGTCACACTGGAAGGTCCGCTGGCCACTCTTCTTTGAGGGTAATCGTGGGCCCCCGTGGAGGACAAGGACGCCCTCTCCCTGTGTTGCCTGTTTGATTTCGCTGGCGACTCTGCAGGAAGCAAGTTTCCTGAGTCAGCACTTTCAACACCCAAGCGGGCTCGGAAGATGGCCTGGGCCCCCTGGACTCCACGGGAACGCCCCTCCCTGCTCTTTAATTTAGCTACAACACGTTGAGCATGGCACGCAGGAAAGGAGGGGGCCCGAGAAGCCGGGTTCACCTTCCCACCACCTCCCGGCCTCGTCCATATTCCCTACTGCTTCTTTATTGAAAGGGCATTAGGTCTGGAGGAGGGAACTTCTAGAGCAAGCTCGCTACTGCCTCTCCCCACCAGCCATCCGCCAGGCTTCTGGTACCTCCCCGCCCAGAGAACTGCAAGGTCCCACTCGTGGTCAGCTGTACCTGGCCACTCACCATACTTCCCTGGTCAGCGCGGGCCTCCGAAGCAGGCTGCACTGTGCCCCTGGCTCGCAGGTGGCCTGGGGCTGCTAGCTCCCCTGGCGAGGCCTTGGTTTTGCCCCCTGGTAATGACCAAGTGGTACTTAGTGATCACTAAGGTCCTGCCCCAAACAAAACTGCTGTATCTCCCTGGCTCAGGGAGCCTGGTGGTCAGGGTCTTGACAGCAGAGAGATCAAGGCCTTGGAGACACACAGGGATCAGTCTCAGGCAGGCCTGCAGGTGGGCTGGGCCCGACAAACCACCTCAGCCTTCCCCATCCCAGGAGTGAGCTCTGGGGACTGTGCGGGCCACTGCTCCCAGGTCACTGACCCAAATCCTTGGACCTTGTCCAAGACCTGGGACTCTGAGGTTCCGTATCAGCTGGGAGGGGGCCATGGAGATCTCAGGGGTAGCAGGATGCAAACCCCAGCTCGGCACCATCAGGGGCAGCCGGGGACCTTCAAAGAACCTGAAGGCCAGGGGTCAGTGCCCCCCAGTGGCACTATGGCTGTGCCCTTGCTCTGTAGACAGCCACCTGCAGACGGTAAATCACATGCAACACCTGCATTAAAGCAGCCTGAATTCTCGACCTGTGCAGGTGGCTGGCCTCTGTCTCCACATCTCCTCCCACTTTCTCTGTAGCTACAAGAGCCATTCAAATGGGAGGAATCTCGGGGGAGTCCCTGGCCAATGAGGGCGGCCACCAGAGCGCCATGTTCCCACACTTGTCCTCAGGTGCCTCCTGGTAATACCGACCCTGGGGCTTGCCTGTGTCCACCAGCTCAGATCAGAGCCCTGTCCATCAGACCGGGCAGGTGGCATGGCTGAGACGCATCCATCACCAGAAGACGAGCCACCCAGACAGCACTGCGAGGAAGGAACTGGAAATCGCACGTGGGGGTCGTCCAAGTC